ATAATTCCACAAGCGAATATAAAGTCGCGCGGATACTTTTCTCATCAGGACAATCTCGTTTGCCACGGCTGCGCCGATTTCAGAATGGGAGAGGAAAAGTGCGAGAACGCGCGAGCGCGACAAAAGGAGAGAGAAAGAAAGACAGAGAGAGAGAGAGAGAGAGAGAGATGGGGACAGAGAGGAAGAACGCGCGGAGAGCGAGTTTTTCTCCCTCATCTTGAGAATTTACTCGCGGAAGTAAACTCGCATAGCTAGATTGTCTTAGCGTAATTGCCATTTGACGCTCTAATTCGCGTCGGGACGCAGCGCGGAGCGATTATCTCGGGAACGGGGCGCTAACGCCGCGAGCTGGGTCGCGCTCGCTCGTGGCGTTGGTAATCTTCATTAGCCCGGTGGAAAGAAACGCGGTAATTAATGTCGCGAGATAACTCGAAATAATTTACGCGTCAGAGCGGCGGCAAAGCGGCCGCTTTCGCGCAACAGCGGGCCGTTGCTGCGCGTCCGTTCGCACACGTTCGCGCCTTCATTCGTGCGATTTAATCGTTGGTCAGTGAACCGTGACTTGCAAGAATAATTTGCGCGAGCGCGGCCTCCCAACCGAGCACACGCGCCCGCGTTGTTTCGGCTCCGGACTTTTTAACGAGGCTCCGTGCGTGTGTACGTGCGTATCATGAGTGTACACGTGTTCGTGTGTTTGTTGCGTGATATATATATATATACATATTTATACACACGCGGTGTATATACACGCAGTGTGTGTGTGTGTGTGTGTGTGTGTGTGTGTGTATATGCGTGTGGCTAGGAGTGTTAACTGGGACGGGAGGGAGGATCGGTTTTTGCAGATCAATACGTCGCAAAAGTGAATTACGCGCGACGGAAAATGAATGGAAACATCGCATTACGCGCGAGACGCCCCGGGCATTGAAATAAAATGTAATTGTTTGGCGAGTGTGCGTTTTACGTTACGCCCCGCGTTGCGGAATGAAGGTACCTGCTCTACGAGTACGTGTGCGTGCGGGACGTAAACTCGCAATTTCGAGAGCGTGTTGTCGCCGGCGGAATGATCACCGATCGGCTCTGCTTATTCGCCGCGTCGTCGCGACGCCACTTGCGAGACTCGAGACTTTAACTCCAGCTTGGCACTTGTGGGTCAAATTGTGTGACTCAAGTGAAAGATCTCACAGTTGCTGAATGATGAATTATTGTATTCGTATAAAGACAGGATTACTTCCTTAAAGAATGCAAAGTTTTTACTTTTTCTTTCTGTGTAAAATGAATATACTATCTTTTCTCTTTGAATGGTCTATTTTGAAGATGATTGAGAAATTTTGCAAATTTATCTTTGTACATTTAAAGCTGTAACATCTGTCACCGAGTAAGCACGTTTATGGATATTTTTTAAGTAAGGGCGTATCACAGTGTGCGTGTGGATTTTACAGACTCAGATCTGTATTAATAGTCGTTACTTGAATCTAATCTCTCCTGAAATACTCAGGTCGGAAATTAGAGTTAGATCTGTGAGTTTTTTAGTTAAATAATATTATGTAACATGTTTGTAATCATGATACAATCAAAGAATACAATTCTAAAGACAAATCTCACTTGAGATAAGTTTTAAGTGACGACTGTTATTATGAGTCTTAGAGGTAGATCTGAGTTTTTCAGCTGAATAGCAGATACAAAAATATAATGTCGCATTATCATATGATTAAAAAGAAAAAAAAAACTCAAATCTAACTCTAAATTTAGATCTAAATATCTCATATGAGGCAAGTTTTAAGTAATGACTAGTCGTTACTTGAATCTAATCTCTTCTGAGATACTCAGGTCGGAAATTAGAGTTAGATCTGTGAGTTTTTTAGTTAAATAATATTATGTAACATGTTTGTAATCATGATACAATCAAAGAATACAATTCTAAAGACAAATCTCACTTGAGATAAGTTTTAAGTGACGACTGTTATTATGAGTCTTAGAGGTAGATCTGAGTTTTTCAGCTGAATAGCAGATACAAAAATATAATGTCGCATTATCATATGATTAAAAAGAAAAAAAAAACTCAAATCTAACTCTAAATTTAGATCTAAATATCTCATATGAGGCAAGTTTTAAGTAATGACTAGTCGTTACTTGAATCTAATCTCTTCTGAGATACTCAGGTCGGAAATTAGAGTTAGATCTGTGAATTTTTTAGTTAAATAATATTATATAACATGTTTGTAATCATGATACAATCGAAGAATACAACTCTAAAGACAAATCTCACTTGAGACAAGTTTTAAGTGACGACTGTTATTATGAGTCTTAGAGGTAGACCTGAGTTTTTCAGCTGAATAGCAAATACAAAAATATAATGTCGCATTATCATATGATTAAAAAGAAAAAAAACTCAAATCTGACTCTAAATTTAGATCTGAATATCTCATATGAGGCAAGTTTCAAGTAACGACTATCAACACCCCAGACCCCAGTGTGCCAAACCGAGTAGCAAGAGATAGGTGTGAAAACGAGGGGTTGATATTCTCGCAACGCACTGTGCCGCGAGAACACTCCTGACATCGTTACGCGTTTGGATGCGTTCGAAGCTTTGCGCGTGATTCGAGCTTCAAGGGGGATTATTCGTGTCGTTTCATGTCGGGCGGTCCGAATGATTATGCGTATCTTTGTGTCGTTACGGCGTGTCGTCTCGTGTGCCAGATTGAATCGACCTATCGGTTTCCGGTTGGTATGTGAATGTTCGCGACTAACTCATGCGACCGCTTCCGAATTTCGAGCTCCTGGATCGTTCCCGTCGGCATTCGCGTCTCGCGCGAATCGGCTTTTCATCTCGGCGGATCTTCGATGGTCGGTTGCACTTTTTGCTGTACGTGCTTTTAATTTCGTGTCGTTCTCATGCGGCGAGCCGTGCTGCTGCTTGAAGTGAAGCAGCCGCGGGGCTCAACGTTTCACGGAATGTGAATGGATTTCAATCGGAATCGTGTGCCGCGACCGACGCCACATGTCGAGGTGATGAATGCCATTTATGCTGGCCCGCGAAATCAAAGCGGGAATGCGGAGAGAGAATCTCTTCGGCAGCTTCCTCAAATAAAGGAAATGTTTTTGTGAAAGGTTTCATTAAAAAAATTTTTTTGTTAAAATAAAATTTCTCCTACTTGAGAAGCAACTCTATCGGCTAGTGAAAAAAATTACCAGAATTTGCTCAAAACAAAATGTCACGTAAAATGTAATATAAAGATCTGAGGATAACTTTTAGTAAATTTGTTGTTGCATCAATATAAAAAAATTTACTCATTATTTTATAATAAAATAATACAGTAACATTAATAATAATATAGCAATATAATTATATTATTTAACAATAAAATAAAGTTATGAGATTTCATGAGAAATAGAGATTTGCATATATAATGTAACAATTTAATAATTAATTCAATGCAATATAATTTTGCTTCATAAATATAATTTAAAAAATTGTAAAATTTTCAATTATCGAACAGTCTCAAATCACGATGATCATGAAAATTTATTTAGGTATCTCGCGTTTTGATTGAATATCTAAAGGCTTTTATGATTGAAATTAAATAAAATATTGTTCACAGCTTCTCCTTTCTTTTTCAGATTTTACCACTCAACGTTTATGATCCTTTATGCAGCTAATCTACAGATATGACAAACTCAATTCAACTAAATGCCGAATTCTCTGCCAAGAGACGTGGCTTGATCGCGGTAGGTGGGCGATTTTGACGGTCAACCTCGGTATTCTTGTATACGGAATATTTCATCAGGAATTTATGAACAACAGAGGCGGTTCTCCCGGCGAAACTTTTCCGCGCTCTCGTCTGGAACGTCGTTTGATCCAATTAGGGAGGTTTCCCTTATCGAAAAAGGGGAGAAATCGCGCAACACGCTTGGCGCCGGGAACGATCCACCATGCGTTTCACACGTACGCGATGACGCTGCCAATTGGATCGAATTCCGCGGGAAGAGGTCAATGGAAATACCGTCGCTTGGCCCCTTTCCGTAGAACGCGATCCAACGTCGACGGTGCGGGTGCGGGTAGCGAGGAAACCCTTTTCTCGCGACAAATAAGCACTGGAATCTGATGACGAGGTTTGACCTCATCTGATGATGCGATTTTGATAACGAGAAGAAAATAGCGCGAGCTTTTGGCTTTTCCTAAAATTCTATTTGAACGGACGTCGTTTCGACGACAATTTTGATACATTATATGCCGCAGATGCATCGAATTTCATTTAGGTGATTTCTATCGTGCTTCTCAGAGACTTGATGTGATTATTCTTTGATCTTAGTAGTAAATATAAATAATAAAATAATAAATATAATTTTTCATTAAAAAGAATAAGTTATTCTTAAATATTAATGATAATAGAAATTTTATAATTTGAAGAATGTCCACTCAGAGAAATAAAGTGGCATGTTGAACAAAATTCGAAATGAGAGAAAAATTTTCCAAAATAAGAGAAAGCTTTCGAGATATTTCAAATGGCTTTTCGATCGCGAGATTCAATTTGCAAAATGTAGATCCGGAGAAATGAAGTACTTAATTGAATAAAATTTGGAACAAGAAAAAAGAGTGGAAAAGGCCCAGAATGAGAAAAAGCTTTTGAGTGCCCCCAGGTGGCTGTTCGATCGGTTGCTCGCGAAGCGCGATTTGAAAAACGTTAATCGAGAGAAACGAAGAGACATGTGGGAGAAAATCTGGAATGAGAAAGATGTTTCGGCCAGCTACCTCAGGTGGTTTTTCGTTTGATTGCTCGCGCTGTTCGAAGAAGAAGCGGGCTTCCCCGCCCTCGCACCCGTGCCTTCGATCGCTGAAACGCACGTCGAGAGAGACACGAAGAGTGGTTGCGTGTCTCTATGTATGCGTGTATGCGTGTTCGTGTGGGCGTGTGCGTGTGTTACGAAGTTACACGTACATAACATCGATAGAAGGAAATAAAAAAAGAAATGTAGGAGATGAAAGAGAAAGACAGACTCACCCAACGTCGGCGTCGTGTAATCCCAGCTCTCGGTATCGTTCTTGTAGACGTTGAGCTTCGTTGGCTGAAAAAGAAAATACACAACATCATTCAAATGCGTCTCGAGACATCACACGGATCGAGTCGACGTGTAAGTTATTGTTTTCTCTTTGATACACAATCGCGCGCCGCGCGGCGCGATTTAGCACGTTGGAATGTCAGAGGAATACAAAAATAACGGCGGACCGATCGATCAGTTATGTCAGAGGCTTGCGGAACTTTGTCCGTTCTTTGGCCATATTTCTTTGGAAATAATAACGAAACAAAACACACATACACGTCATGTTCCCTCAAAGTGTTCAAATAGATTTATTGTCGCAACTGTAAACCGCGCTAGCAAATCTATAATCGTAATGTACTGACAGCCAGTTTGCTATGTTACAGTAACCAAGTCGCAGAGCTGCATAAGATTTGTGTCTAAGGGTTCTGCAAAACCGTGCCACTTGATGCTGAATGTTTCGCTGTCTAGACCAATTACAAACCTTTGTGCGCTCCAAAGTGTTTGTAGATCCAAGCAGATTCTACACTTAATGAAGTTTCATGTTAAAGCATATATATACTAGATTTGTCAAGCACGACAAAGATGATCCTATATCACATCTAATGGAAAATATGATTTGGTGTGTGCTAATCATTTTGCTGTTATATTAAAGGAAATGAAAAGAATTAATGGCCTTCAATGTAGCTAAATGGTCAGGTGTTCTAGCAATATAGAAGTTAACCAGAGCAAAAATGCTCACTGAGAATGTCTCGAATATTCAAATATAATAAAATATTATTAAATATATATTCACATACAAAGATACACAATTTATATCAATATATTATGTAAAAAATACAAACAGTTATTAACATAAGAAGGCAAACTTAAATTGCGTAACGCATAATAACATCTTTCTTCACTGTCTATTAAATAATTGCAAGATCTGTTTAGTAAAATTAATGAATTTGTTTCGCGAACTTCAATTTTAGCTCGAGATACGGTTTGTTGCAATAACTATGATAATATCAAGGAAAATGAGTTTGCTCTATCAGCAAATTGGCAATTGCTTCTAAACCTAATATCCTTGCTGCAGATCTGCTTATTTATAACATGCAATTTTTCCCAGCAACCTACGGATTTGCAGAATCGAGTGAACCATTTTTCCGTGTTTGCCGCCGTTACCCACCACCTTCTGCAATCTTCCCGGTGAAATTGTCTAATTCCGCCTTCTCAAAATGACATTTCTCGTTGCCGGTGGAATCATCCACGTTTCGACGGGCTTTCGCAAGTCTCCGATACAAATGGATAAGTAAGAACCAAGAAAATCGATCGCCCTCACACATTAGATTGCGCCCCAGACGACGTTACTGTCCCCGTTCGGAAGAAAAGCAGCCCCGAGCGCGCGCACACGGAGAACGAGGGGAGAGAACTTTACTCGTAAACGCGAAGCTTCGCCTTCAAATGGATAGGTACGTCCGGAGGTGACGTGTAATATTGTTATTGAAACAGTTTCATCGAGTTCCCAGTCAGTTCCTAGGCGAACTCGGTAGGGATCCAATGAGAAATATCGTTAACCATAACTCGATATCTCAATTTTCGACGGTACCGTGTAAAGCGCACAACATTCTCCCCTCCCCCTTACCCACCCAATCCCCTTTCGATTACAGGTAACGAATAGCCTGTGCTTGTTCTCGGCCGCCTAATGAATACTTCGGCGAATCTCACGGGCATGCGAGACTAATTCGATTAAGCTTAAGCGACGCAAATCCCCGGGTGTTAAATAGAGCAGCTCACTCTCTCTCTCTCTCTCTCTCTCTCTCTCTCTCTCTCTCTCT